CACACACACACACACACATACAACTTATATGTAACTAACTTATTTACTTTGAATGAGAGTCACAGTCATGTACTGAAGAAGAGGGCTGCTGGGGTTAAGTGGGAGAATCCTACCCCCTTGTGCTGACAATCTGAGCTGCTGAAAGTATTGAGCAGTGTTTTCATGGTCTACACTGCATTTAAAGTGTATACAAATCCATCTTATATGTTGCAATATAAGATTAAACACCCAGTAAATCATCTTTTTGACTAGTTTCCAATACACAGTAGCTTGTTTAAGAATTCTCTCAAAAGTGCAATTTTCTTGATAAAAGTGTTTCCATATTTTAATGCTGACATTTGTTTCTAAAAATATTCCATATAATGGAAACCCAGCTGCAAACATCATTTCATCCACTCTTTTATCATCAATGCATTACATATCTTAATCCACGTCTTCTAATCTCTATTGTCAAAAAGAAGAGTTTCCAAAAAGAAACAACTCATCTGCTCTAGCTGTCGTAGAGGAACAGTAAATCTATACAGAGCTGTGGAAACCAAGAATGTGATGTCTATCTGTGGGTAAATTGAGCTTCTAAACATTTACTTAGGTTTTTCGATTTTCACTAAGCAAGTAACTTTAGGAAACACTATTCTCCTCCTCTGTTTCATCATATTTGGTTCAATTTGGGGGAGGTTCTGATTCACTGACATTGCATTAGTTAATCTCTCCTGTCCAATGGAGTGATTCATAGCAAGTGTAGTTAAAATAAACATTATTATTTGCTGAAGTATTGGTTTTAAAAATCAAGTTAGTTTTCATTAATACACAATATGTGTCCTTGGCCACTATTTTTCACTCATCAATATCATAAAAAAAAATGTTAATATTCCTATTGTGATTTAAACCATATTGTCCTGCGGTACTGACATTCAGTTAAACAGTTTGCTCAGGTTAATGTTAAAGAAATCAGTGACGAGCTTACCTCACAGCAGCACAGGGGCGGACAGATTCACATCGTCTTACACCGTCAGAAGGAACAAAGTGAAGGGTGGATCGGAGCTCGACTTTGTCTAACACCCAAACACTGACCTTGATCTCACACACCGCTGTCCTTCAGAGGTTTAAGGTATCTGTAGGGAGATTATAAGATGATAAATAAATGGCGTACTCTATTTCTTCATCTTCCACTTTCTAATACAAACAAAACTATCAAAGTCATAGCATTGTTTCTTTTTGAGATCATCACTTTAATATCTGATATTTTTGCATTAGGCTCTGTGTCAACGGCTTAACATTCAGGTCCCTGACGTTTTGGAAATGCTTTAGGATGAAATAGCAGACAGCACCACACCCCCAACAATAACATATCAAGGTGACACCATTTGTCAGTTCCAGTCAAGAGCTTAGCTGTCAAATACTGGCCTCACCTTAGAGGAGTGTGGCTGGGAGTCAGTGTGTCAGGACGACATGACAGCCAGGAAGGCGACACAAAGAGATGGAGATTTCCACAGGGATTAAGACAGCTGAGAATGAGAATGAGTCCAACAATGTCAAAGCAAATTCTGAGTAAGGTCCAATGGAACATTGCTCAGGCCCAGACTTCATTCTCATTTTACAAAATGAAACAAAAAAGGATTATTATATTTATTCATCGAACCCGGGACTCAGTAAATGTGCATCATGGACTCAATCCACTAGGAGGGAACAAAGGGAAATATTTTTTGAAGAAGGAATACAACTTTAATAATGATGAGGCTTTAAATTAAGGCAGGTTCCTATGTATACTGCACCTGTTAGCTTTCTTTCATCACGATATCACATTGTTCAGCCAATGCAGCGCCCTCAAACGCTGCCTGCCCTTGTCCATCAGAGAGGAAAAATCCAGACAAGAATTTCACAGGGTTATCTTTGTTCTCAAGGCCAAAGGAAAGGGACTAGTGCCACGAGGACGGCATGAGACAAAGGGGATAGACCTACAGAGAACAGTGGTGAGTGATAATTCAAAGTCCTTGAACTTAGCTCTCACTTGGCAACAGCTGTGACACTTTATGACCCCCTGACCACCACTTGACATGAGGAGCCTTTAGTGAACTTTATCTTTTTCTTCAGCACTGTTCTCAAAAGTGAAGTATTGAAAGTGAAATAGACTCACTGAGTCATTCATCCTTTGTTTGGGATTTTTTTTTTTTGATAAGTCTGTTTATTGAGCATCAGCGATACAAATTGAAGACATAAAAGAGATACTAAACAATGCTCACATTTTTCCCAGTTTTACAATTTACAGTACCCCCCACCCCCCCTCCCACGCACCCACCCACACCTCATACCCCTGTAGAGGTCCCACCCCTACCTGTCTCTAGGTGAAG